GCCTGTTTGCTGTCCCGAGGCGACATCGCTCAGTTTGCGGAGGGTGCCTTCGATGATGTTGGTCACTTCGCAGGAGACGCAAAGCATGGTGTTGAAGAGTTCGTGGAGGATATCTTTTGAGGATGCACCTTCGCATGAAGCGGAGGTCGCTGGCGATTATCCACGCCGGAAAGGAGCTGTAGAGACTTCCTTGACGGCGTTCCGTGCCTTAGCAGGCGCGCTCTTCTGACTCTCGTGTACAGTCCGCCATGTCACCAGGTGATTGCAGCGGTGACTTTAGATGCGGTGTGTGGGGAAAAACACCGGAGCGCCTCCTCCCAGACGCTCAGAATTCTGAAGCCCTTGTTCATTTAGGGTTTAGGGTTTAGGGTGTAGGGTCCATGTGCGATCGCGCGGCTGAGGCTCGTGTACGAGATGGCAAAGGCCCTGCTACACTTGGCAGAGTTGGGGCTGCTCCGTGCCCCAGGATTCGGATTGAGGATTAGGGTTTAGGATTTGGGTTTTGGGTTTAGGGTTTAGGGTTTAGGGTTTCGGGTTTAGGGTTTAGGGTTTAGGGTTTAGGGATGATTGGGGTGTAATATCGGGGCCTTAACAATTAGAATAGGTTGCTGGGGTCTATTATACTATTAATTATAAACAGAAACCCCCAGAACCCTATTAAAATGATGGCCCCGACATTAGGGTGTAGGGTGATGTAGAGTGTAGGGTGTAGGCTTGTCGGGATAAGACGGCCCTGGACTCACAGGACCTGGCTTACAAAATGCCCAGGCCCTAATTCCCAACTGCAGGAACCCAAGATACCCTGTAGCCGGCTTCGGGTGCAGGGTTTAGGGTTTAGGGTTTAGGGTTTAGGGTTTAGGGTTTAGGGTTTAGGGTGTAGGGTTTAGGGTTTAGGGTTTAGGCTGCAGTGTAGCCAAGCAAACCAGGAGAAACACCTCTCAAGAAGCATGTCTGACGTATTTGACGCTCACAAGTTGACAAGACACGCGAGTCTTGGTCGAATTCTTTCGTTCTGAGGCTCCCCCTGCTCCCCCTCCACGCCCCCCTTCTCTTGCACAGAGCCCGCGACACTCACGGCGGCGCTATCTCTTAATTACTTCACATCCTCAGTCACTCTATATTAATATAGAAGCCATAATAATCACCTACACTATATTGGGGGCTCCTTATTCTTTTATTGTATAATATACAAAAAAAAAGCCCTTTTCTAATTATTAAGGCCCCTACATTACTCAACATCACCCTCATGCCCGAGAACTCTCCGAAGATCAGCAGTTCATCCCGGCATCGCTGACAGGACACCCAAGCTGAAGTGGTGTCTAGGATTTAGGTTTTAGGATTTAGGGTTTAGGGTTTAGGGTTTAGGGTTTAGGATTTAGGGTTTAGGGTTTAGGGTTGAGGGTTAGAGCTTCGAGGGCACAGGGCTGTGGCATGTTCAAGCTTTAGGGCATTGGTCAAGTTGCAATGGTAAGTTGACAACGCAAGGGCACGCGTCTATGGCATGGGTCTTAGGTGCGATATATTCGTATTGCCAATATTATTCCTTTGGGTTCCTGTTACCAACGTTGCGTAACGTACCCCCGAACTATTCGAATCCCTAAACCCTAAAGAATAAACTCTAAACTCTAAACCGCCCTAAACCCTAAACCCTAAGCCCTAAACTCTAAACCGCCCTAAACCCTAAACCCTAAACCCTAAACCCCAAACCCTAAACCCTAAACCCTAAACCCTAAACCTTGTTCTGACTGTCGAGGCTCCAGCTAGAGGCACCCAGTGAGTGTTCTTTGAAACATCGAGGCCCCTACACTACTATAAGGGCCTAAATAATTACCAATACTATTTTTGGGGTTCCTTCTTACTATTATTATTAGTATTATTATTATTATTATTTTTTATTTGTCATTATCATTATTATTATTATTGTTATAGTATTATGGGTCCCAAAACCCTATTCCATAATTATTAAGGCCCCTACACTAAGCCCTCGGTGCCTGGGAGGCCACCATCCACTATCGCTTTCAGATCGAGCCGCCTGGTACGGTCTTGATTTTATGGTCCATGGTTTTCGACCGTTGGAGTTTAAGTAACCCAGTAGCCCTTCAGGGTTTTGGGGCTTACCTAAACCCTCTAACCCTTCCACCCTTCAACCCTAAACCAAAAGCCCTTAAACCCCAAACCAAAAACCCTTAAACCCTTAAGCCC